CGTACCCTCATGCCATGTCTTAGCTTGACCACCCTTGGCTTTCTTCCACTCACCACCTGCGAACACCACTTTCCGTGGTGAACTCGGGTGAAAGCGTGCCGTAAGCTCGCACTCGCCTTCGGCTATGAGTATAGAGGGATTGTAATATTGCAATAGACTTCTCGGGCGCACCTTTCAGACCCTTATTCCTAATAAGACGGAAAAGATTGCGACTATTACCAATAGTCGCAGCCTTCTCCGTTTCTCTACACTTTCCTATCCACCACTTCTCGCAGTCACTCCTCAGACTCTTGATCAACTGGCGTTTGAGGGATTTGCCCCTGTGCCATACGCAGCATCGGGAGGAAGGGTTCCGCGGGCGTCCTGCAGGACAACCGAGGTCGATGAGATCCATCGTTTATGTTTTCCGTCTGAGTGAGGGTCTGACCTTGTTTTCATTGATATTAGCATAGGTTCCTTGATTTGTTTCCAGTGTTCATTGAGTCCTTCTGCTGGTGATTGAGCTGACAGGCAATCGGAGAGTTCCGCTTCGAAGGCTGATTTGCAACAATCGCTGACGTTGTATCGTAGGTATCCGTTTTCCGTGTTTTTTTACGGTTGCTTGTCAGGCATAATGATAATTTGGCTCGTAGCAAAGCGTGGTTCGTATCCACAGGTTGACCAGTAAGAGCGGCAGTCTTGAATCGATTTCCTCCAGCGGTAACAGATAGCGGTGCGGTCGCTTTGGGTACAGCGCTGTGAAAAGGTTGGCGGTTTCCCTGTAAGGCGGTGTCGTTTATTTTGCGAGAAGTTCGTGCTTGACAGGAACAGTCCGTGGTCGGCGGTCCCCGTTGTCCGTCCGGTTGGCTGGGATTGCATGTGGCCCACCAAGTAACCTCTCTGATTCGTCCAGGGATCCCACTTGAGCATTGAAGTCTCCGGCGATTACCACGATGTTCGCTGACCGAACGCTTTGGAGTAATCGAGAAAGGTCCTTGTAGGATTCATCTTTGATTTCAGGTGTACTGCAATCAGTCGGTGCATACACCGATACAACGAATAGACATCGACCTTTCGTTCTGTAGCTGTTGACCCGCGCTGAACCGTTGAGACGCACGGCCGACTACTGACTGGAATCCAGTCGAGAAGCGAGCGTTCGGCCTTGGCACTTAGCGCGATCCCGACACCAGCAACACCGCGAGCTTCGGACGCCGAATCGCCTGACACACGAAGGGTGAAGCGTGAAGTTGGGGTTGGATCGGGAGAACGCAGGAAGATTATGGAAGTGGGGTCTTGTATGCGTGTTTCGGAGACACAGCATACATCTAAATTGAAATCTTCAAGGGTTCTAGCCAGGGTAGCTTGTTGACCGATCCGATAGTGTGCGGAAATTGCACGCGGCTTAGTGAAAAGGAATTTCGGCTTCAAAAATCCTGTAATTTCTGATTGTTTGAACTTGTTGGTAAAACGCTGAGTGATATCCGATGGGTCT